GAGGCAACCCCAGGAGGGGTTTTTCCAAGGGGTGGGTGATTGTCCTGCTTTCCTGTGCAGGGTGGGAGCTGCCTCACAGTGCTGTGCTGTCCCTGGCAGAGCTGTGCTGAGCACTCAGCACCATGGCCATGCAGATGCAGCTGGAAGCAAACGCAGACACCTCAGCAGAGGATGAGAGCTTTGGACCTCAGCTCATCTCCAGGTTAGAGGTAGGTCAGGAGTCAGCTCTGGAGCTGACCTTCCAGAAGCCTGCTTGTCTCCTTCCTTAAACACAAGCTGTAGCTGGAAACTGTGTTGCTAAACTCTTGTGTTCTGTCAAAAAGCCCAAAGCCCCCAACAAGTGCAGTAGTTAGGTTTTATTTTCTGTTGCCTCCCTGTGTACGTACCTTTTCCTGACCTGTCTTGGTCACCCCATCACCCCCATCACCTCTTAAACCAGACTGTGCCATCTGTGCAGTTAACAGCTCAGGCAAACATTACACTGGCAAAAAAGGATTTGATCCGTTTGGATTCTTTGTGGGTAAATAACATTCCATATGCTGACTTGTCATCTCAGAGTTGGATCCAAATCTGATGGAGCCAGTCGAAGGTATTCAGTGGGAGTTCAGGAATGTGTGTCTTACTGTGTCCTTTTTTCTCCCTCCCAGCAATGTGGTATCAATGCAAATGATGTGAAGAAACTAGAAGAAGCTGGATTTCACACAGTGGAGGCTGTTGCTTATGCACCAAAGAAGGAGCTACTGAATATTAAAGGCATCAGTGAAGCCAAAGCTGACAAAATCTTGGTAAGAGGGTTATGGAGAAGCTTTAACCCAAGATATTCAAGTCTTATTACTCCTGGCTTAAGGTGTTGAGATGCTTTTGGAAAGTCTCTGTTCAGGATAGACTGAGAAGGGCAATAAAGATGATTAGAGGTATGATGTGACTTCTGATGGGGGGAGACAAAAAGCCCTGGGGCCCTGTCAGGAGGTGAAGAGGGAGGGACTGTCCTTCCTAGCACAGGATTTCCTGGGGGTGGGGGATGAAGCCTCAGCTGTGATCTCAGCACCTTCTGGTTCAGAACACAGAGTTTCTGCCAAGCCATGTTGGACTCCAGTGCTTCTCTTCCCTCGTGCAGCAGGAAGGCAGCATTCCT